TAGTATTTATTACTGAAACTTCACTATGGATAAGAATACCTTTTAGAAAATGTACCCTGAGGTCTACCCATCTCTGTGAGAAAATTCATTATCAGCACTTAAGTAGCTAACGATCTTACTGAAGAAAATAGTGGCCAATCTAAAATACACATTAAATATCTGCTTGCTAGTATGTCAACAACAAAAGTATTCTTAACTTCATATACAAGCATTTGCACAAAGTCAAACAAATAGGAGTTTATAAATGGGTAAATGAATGCCATAGGAACTCTTTTGAATATATTGTTCTAAAAATATCTTGCTGATTAAATTCGTCGAAAAGAAAAAGAATTAGCTGTTATGCTTCGAAAGTCGTCATCCTTAGTGACTTTGAAAGTTAATCGCACACACAAAAGGTTATTATAAATAGAGTACCCCAGCGGGGCCAGTTAAACCGACTTTGACGAAATAGCAGATGCTCCGCAAACTAGGATGTGCCAAAAGAGCGCCGAGTCTACAAAGATAATCCTAGGGGAATCACTGTGATGTGTATTCGCGTATAAACGATAGAAGAGCCATTATACTTGACATCCTAGGGAGCGCTGTAGATTTTATTTGGGTATAAAATTTTGCATTGGAAAAATTTTAAGACAAAAGGTGAAAACCAAAACATTGTTGACAACTATCGGGAGAAAGTAAGCCAAGAAATAATATGCTTTAAAAAAAATTAGGAAAAATCCACGTAAATAAGGTGAAATCAGCTTATAAATGAATGCTCAAACTAAAAAAAAGGTATAAAGAGTTTGAAGACATAGGCATCCAAAGAAAATTAGCAAAACGAATTTTCAAAATATTTTTTTGTCTGGCTTACTAACGAATTTTAATAGTAAATGGTTTTGAGAGCCTAGGGATTAGCCAAAAGCAATAAAATATTGTAACAGATTAGTGGTTAAGCGAAAATGTATCGCTTTATACTAACGCCCTGCCAAGTGTAGTATTAAAATGGCTTTTATGCAAGCATGATGTGATTTTAAATACATTCAAGGAAATTATGAAGCCGAAAAATACAGCGATGTGCACTGATCCTTACAAAGATAAAAACGTATTATTATGTTACTATTCAAATAAAAATTACCTGATTTGGTGTTTTTCCACAAGTGACGACATTATGGTCCTTGAGCGATATTTCTTCAGCGTTAGTTAGATTAGATGTCTTAGCAAAACACAGAATCGTGCCTACAGTGTCTGTATAAGTGCCTTTAAATACTGCCGGCCCGATCTGAATTAAGTCCAATATAGGCATTGAAAAAAATATTTAAATTACACATAAAAGTAGTGATACTAATAAATAATTTGTATTGACCAAGGAAGGGTATCAATATAGGCTTACACTAACGCATACCTGTGCAATGGGACACTCGGAATCTAAATCAACAAATCTAATAATTTGGCCAGATTTAATAATGCCAGGTTCAAGAGCGCCTTTGCACTCAGAATAAATTATTTCTTCATCAATAACTTCCCACTCGCTTTCTGAAAATGTGGTTTCAGCGTGATCAGATTCACTTCGAAATAAATCCCCAAGTTTAATCATATTTGGACATTTGGAGTAATCTAAATCAGTGGACGTTGTAGGTTTATCATTAGCTCGATGATCAGCCTCAGGCAAGGTGGTCTTATTATGAGTTCGATTATCATCGATAGGCCAAGAAAGAAAGCATTCAGACGGAAGATTTGGAGAAAATATCATTGTTCCATTCGCTAGGATTGATGTCGTAATCGACCATAGCACTGCAAAGTCCCCACCAGCGTTCAAAAAAGGCAATATCAAGTACTCTATGTTTGATAACCTCCTGCAGTCTACCAAACAAGCTAGCATTGGCAGAATTTGACACATCAAAGAGGATAAATCTAAGGAGAGAGGTATAGTCACCGCCACCATTTGCTGGGAATCTGTAAATGCATTTTTCTGAATATAAACAGCATTCTTTTGCCGCCTCTTCCCACCATGCAACGCGGAATAATCCAAAGTTTGTGGTGCGCAATCTCTGGCTCTCGAGCATTTCAATTCGTTTGCATACATAAGAATAGCTTGAAGGATTGCGAATTGATTGGGGGACAGACCAAATATCGTGGCTAGCGGTGATGAGAGAGTCGTAATAGTCGTCTTCTGTAGGACAATTGCGCCAAATGAAAGAAAAAATCCCTGAAGAAGAGAGTATGACAAGGGTTCTGGCTGGAGCTTTTTGGACAAGTCGAGCAACATCACGGCAGGAGGAGGCGTAGTCGGAGGCAATAATGTAGCAGTGTTCTTCTAAATAAATAAATAAGATATATTTAAAAACTCGATATAATATTGTATAAAAACATAATGCGCCAAAAATATTAGGAAATTAAAATTTACTGAGGAAATTATAAAATCTGTAAAAATATGACGGTTTTGTAACGGTTGAAGTGTAAGAGAAAAACCGAAACATGGGAAAGATAAGAAAATCAGCGGGGTGATACAGACTAAAATAAAACACAAGTAAAAAAAGTGCAGCATTCGACAGAGTAATCTAGTTTTAAGGATTTAATAAAATCTTACTAGAATAATGTTAAAGT